CTGGCGCAATATGGTTCATGGGGTCACGAAGAGTCGGACACGACTTAACGACTAAACAACAACAACAAATCCTGCTTGAAAGGACTGAGATTGGCAAGGTAGGAACCAGTGTTTCTCAGGGCAGAGAGAATCATTTTGTAAGTCTAACTTAACTGCTTCCAAAGGCCATCAAGAGATCAGCCGTGTTTCTGTTAACTTGGAAGAGCAGGTACTCTCTATGTCTCCCTACAGACATATATAAAGGCTTCATACTAGGGTTTAGGAGTAAATCACAGCTTTTCAGGCACTTATTCCACACTTGGCTTCATTTGATAGAAGACTCTCAGACACGAGTCATCAAGATAAAGATCCCTGCAGACAAGAATGAAGCTTTAAATACAACAGCTAATTGCCTACTGCAGCACAAAGGTAAGACCCTTTATATATGTCTGTAGGGAGACATAGGGAGTACCTGCTCTTCCAAGTTAACAGAAACATGGCTGATCTCTTGATGGCCTTTGGAAGCAGTTAAGTTAGACTTACAAAACGATTCCCTCTGCCCTGAGAAACACTGGTTCCTACCTTGCCAGTCTCAGTCCTTTCAAGCAGGATGCTTATCTATAATTATAAGTCTTCGTTATCATCATTTTAGTCACACGCACATACACACACACACACTTTTTTTATCCTTTGACAGCATCTTCCCCTCAACTTGGATAAGCAGTTGCAACATATCTTCTCTGTTCATTATGATGTGAAGAATTAATCACATATCTAGGTAATTAGTCTTTTTAATTTATATTTAAATATATCTTGATCTCTCCTTCAAGCATGCTGAAGCACTGCCAACCTGTATTTTATTTAATTATTACAGTGACTGCTTAAAATTTACACTACATTAGTAGGCAATTTAGTAGTAATTCTATGGCAATTAGAATACCATAGGCGTTCCTGTCTGCAGCCAAGTTGATCTGATATAAATATTGACATAAAGACTAAATAGCTACATGTAGAATTTCATTTTCATCATATTGTATATGTTTTATTAAAAAAATCACAAAACAAAAAGTTAAGCTTGACTTTCTGTCTGCAGTCTGGCTGGCAAATAAATGGTGGCAGGATATGCCATTTGTACTGCTGATTTTATCTCCTAGTTCAGCTACTCTTTTGCTGAATTACTTTAAAAAATGTATAGATGAGCTTGGGACTCTAAACAAAAATCATTGAATGTAAAGAAATACAAAACATAAGAATTAGCAAATTCTTTAAATTGTCTGTGTTTTTCTTTAAAAATTTACATCCATTAAAATAGAAGTACTTCCCAGTTTATGTTTTATTTTGTTTCTTTGTTTTTGGCTTAAGTCATTTTTAAAATTCATATTTAATTATCTTTTATGTAAGAAATTATCAATAAATTAGTAAATACCAAACTTGTTTACAGTCTTTCATGCAAGTAATAGATTTTGGCAAATTCTGCTGGATGAGAAAATTTCAAAGCCATATATACCTTTACCATGTTTAAATATGCAAGTTTTGATCTGTTTTCTTTTAGAAATACACCCAGGCATTTAAGCAACTTGATAAAGGTCTATGGTTAAAACTGATACAGCTAAAACAGAGACCATGAAATGAGTAGAACAGGGCACCAAGTATTAAGATGTGTAGGAAGGATCAGTTACCTTCTCTTATCGATTGTATTGAGCATACATTAATACAATTGTAAATAATCAACTATAGGAACCCTTAAATTGGTTTAAGTTCCACAGAATTCAGTAAAGAATTACCCATAAGACATTTGCCGGTCAAAAATGTTGGAATTTTACTAGATGCCAGTTTGTAAAAAGCATCTAAACAGATTTAGGAGTTACTACTGAAAGCACCTATGTTGAAATGACTAGAAGTGAAAACACTAATAAGATTTCAGCCAGCTCTAGAGCATCTAGTGCTCAGTTACAAAAAATACAACCCAAACTGTTGTATATACTTGGAAAACAGTGACAAACTTTTGGAAAAGGAGTTCAAATGCCTCCTTGCCTGTACTCACTAGGTGGCCTCTGTAAGTTACCGTTCCTCAGCCTTATTTTCCTATCCATGAAGTATAAACTACAGTAAACAATGACTAACTGTGATAAATTCAAAACAGAATTGTTATTGCTTTTTTCAGATTTACTGATGGAACAGACTATAATTCTAAACAAGTTAAATATATCTTGCTCAGAGGGAAGAGGAAGTTGATTTTAATGTATCACCCTCGTTCTGTGAACTCAGCCAACCAAAAATGACTAGTTTACTTGAAATTGCTCATAATTTTGGTTTTATGTCATTTAGAAAGTTGTTAATCCTTATTCACTGTTAAAACAGCACATATTTATGTTAATTAGCTTTATTGTTGCAGTTTGCTTTGTTTGAATTATTTCAGTGGAACAATAAAATAGCTTTTGAAAATGGTATTTCATGGCGTTTATATTTAGCTGAAATGCCATTTCCAGGTATTGAAGGCGGACACTGAAGATCAGGAAACCATAAATAACATACAATAATGCATTCTCAGAATCAACAACACATTTGCAAATACAAAATATTACAGGTTTCTGTGTACATCTCTTCTTTAAAAGTTCTGTAATTGCATTGAATTATTCAAAACAAATTTGAGCTGACATACTTGGAAGACTTAGCATAATGACTGCCAAGATGATGAAGATGTTTCATAAAAATATCAACACAGTTTCTAGTATGGCATAATTTCTCATCATTGTTGCTAGGTTTTCAGGATTTGCATGCTATGCCTGCTCTGGATAGAACAGGTTCTATCTGTTGGGATTCAGGCTCTGACAGTGCCGTGCTTGAGCCAGTGTTGGTGCTATGTTGACATGTGCAGCTTGCAAAGTTGACATGTCCAGCATGCTGCTGGAGCCCAAATCCTGCTAGAGCATCTCTGCCGGCCCCTATTCTCTGCCACCATTGACCTGCCTTGCTTTGTGCGCAGATGCTGCGCTGGCACATGATCACCATGCAGGGAAGCAGAGGGAATATTGACGCTGACATTGCCATTAGTCCATGCCAATTGGTTCCAAGGGGTGCCCAGAACATAGGGTGGGGTGAGACGGTAGGTGAGAGATTGCAACCATGGTGATTAAATAATCAATAATGAATTATTTTAATTTAAGTATGTTATTGATTAAATTCATTTAGCTTAATTTTTAATATTTGTGCATTTCATTTTTGTAGGTGTGTGGGTGTGGCCCATCAGTTAGTGCATTTATGTAATGTGGCCTCTATATTCATTGAGAATAAAACACTTATTTTAAAGTTTCTCCTAGAGGAGAATTTGTTAAAGGTTAAAGGTTCTCCTAGAGTTAATCAAGGGTTAAAGATTCTCCTAGAGTTAATCAAGGGAATGAATGAGGAAGGCATAAATTCTACTTTTTCTATGGTGAATCCTGCATTGTACATCAAACTGCTGATCAATAATCAAGAAACTTACAAAGAGTAGCATAAGGCAGAGGTTCCCAAACTTTCTCAATTCATGGTGCCCCTGGCATTTCCCATACTGTGTGAACTCTCTAAGAGTCCCATTTATTAAGTAGTAAAATATCCCATAGAGCCTCTGTGAGTTCGCTACACCATCCATACACCATCTAAAGTGTACAACAGTGCTCAGTTAAAGCTATTGGCATCATGATCCAAGCTAAATGCTACTGTCCAGTCAGCAGTCACTTGCCTGTACAATTATGACTAATTTAGCATCCCCGTAATTATGCCACGTGATGGTCCACCAGTAAGGACGCTGGGTTCTTCTCACAGATGGTGCTTAGTTAGAGCAACCTCATCCTGGCTTATCCACCATGTTTATAAATACTACTAGTATAACTTTGTATACTTTTGAATATTTGGGGTAAAAATACAATGTAGCCTATTTATTATCATTTGGAGAAGCAATAAAGTGACAGCTGGAATGTTTGATTGTTTTGAAAGTGTGTTTGATTCTTGGAGTTTTCTTATTTATTTATTTATTTATTTATTTATTTATTTATTAAACCAGTTTATTTGAAGACCTCTCCCATATGTCAGCTGTCTTCAGCAGTGGATCAGAAGAGGAAAATCCCTTCCGCCTAAGAATATTCAAAGAAATGTATCGAGGCAAACATAGTCTCTTTGTTTCCAGGAATAAAAAAGAGTGGTCCTAATACTCCGTACAGTAGAATTACTCTTTCTATCATGTGTGTCAAACTTTTATATTGTTAACATAAACTATTTTTACTGTATCATTCCATGTTTTTAATTATCAATTTCATGTCTTTGTTCTTTAGGACCCACAGCATGTCTCAACAGGACACAGCAATCAAAGTAAGAATAACTTTCACTTCACAGTTGCATTTGATGGAAATCATGATTGGTTAAATATTCCATAAGATAAATTGGCAGGGAAAAAAACAGTGTTTCCTGTATTTTGAATGTGGCCATTACTGTTTTTTGAACCGGAAATAATCTTGAATCCTTTGGAAAAGATAAATTAGGTATACGTATCTAGGCTTCAGATAAATGGTCTAGCTTTTAAGAGACATTTGTAGATTATTTTCTGAAACAATGGCAATGCATTCCCTCTATTCCCTATATCTTCTACTCTCCTGACAGTGACATCTCCAAAATTCTTCTTATACTTCACTGGAGAGGGCATAGGGAAAGGTCTTGAAGGGCAGGAAGAAGAACTACTAAGGCAATGGTCAGATAAGAGAGGCCTGAGCCCAGGCCAAGAAAATAACTTGAGAAAATGTCTCAGACAAGCCTCTTCCTGGTTCACATGAAAATAAAGTGTGGGGGGGAGGGGGCGGGAAGCCCATTCAGACTTGCAAGATTCAGTTACTATAGCTATTACAATAAAAGTAGTCCTGCCCTGTATGGCATTAGTTTCTTAGTCTAGTCTATCTTGTGCTGACATTCAGTTAGGGTAATACAAGATGTTAATAATATTATCCTTCTTTAATTTAATCAATGTAATTTCCTAACATAGAGAACTGGATCCTAAGATAAATTAATTTGAGCAAGTTTACTGAAGAAAAGCTTCCCTCCCTGCCCCATAAGTTACTTAATGCACTCCAGCCTGTCCAGATGATCAGGGGATCTTCTGAAGAATAGGAATATGGAAGGAGTATTGTATTTCAACTATCCTGAGATCCAGTTTGGAACATTCCTCCACACTCCCAGACATGACTTGTTTCCATATTGTTTAGGATAACTTTGACTTTTATAGAGGCTATGGGGGCACAAGAGAGGAAGAAACAGATACGTTTTGTTCTGTGGGTTTATTAACTTACTTTGGGATCTAACTCATTGTGTTGGAATGAATGCACAGGTTTATAAATTCTGTCTTTCTCGTTTTCTCATAGGCATATCCATATAAACAGCAGTGATTTAGTTACGTGTAGATGCTATAAAACTATATGGCCTCTCTGTTGCAAAGAATCCTTTTGTGAGAAGGGTTGGGTTATCTGCTGAGCAAGCTAAACATACATAAACACGTTAGGAGCCTTTTGTTTTACTATCAGTTAGCATATATCTGGAGAATGGTCAGGGGATGAAAAACATTTGGGAAAATGCAGTGCAGTCCAGAGCAGTTTAATTGCCACTCAGCATTTGATACTATTACGAAGAAGAGCATAACGTTACAAAACAGAGAGAGAAGATAGATGTACTAGTTTCTCTGAGTGGGAGAATAATGTCTTTTATGAACCATTTACATTAAAAGAGATTTTTACATGAATCTGATAATAATCTGCAGTGAAGGTAATAGCAAAACAAGAAAAACCACATGATTCTGAGAAACGGAAAGAGGGTGTTGCTACAGATATTTTGGGACTTTTGTTTTCTCCTCTTCTTAAATGACAACCAATTATTACCCACAACCCCTACCAACTTTTAAATTGTGGCTCTGGCATTTAAACTGCTCCACCTATCAACATTATATCCCAGAATTTATAAAATATGTTTTGAAATGATTCTCCTTCACTTGTACATGGGGTCAGAGTTATTACTGACACAGACAGGTCATGCAGCAAGCTTATCGAACAAACAAACTGAGCATGGATTACCTACCCTTGGTTTTGTGATAATTTGTTTCATTTATGCAGCACTTCTAGTGTCAGGTGGCTGTTCAATTCTGCACATATAAATAAGCATGGTACCAAAAATTCAGTCTGCCGTGCTTATTTATGTGTGCAGAACTGAACAGCCACCTGAGTGTTGGGTACTGATAGCCAAGAATATATATAGTGGCCTAGAAACTGAGCAGAAGCCTGCCAATTAAGTCACCTTGGGATGTGAGTTTTCCTTGGTGAAACCTAAACAGGTAATATAAAAGAAAGAGAAACAACTTCTTTGATTTTGCAACAAGTTGGGACAATGAATAAACAAACACAACATGGGTTACATTAAAACATAATGCTGTCTTTAATTGAGTATTGCAGAAATGAGTCTGAGCAAATTTTGGATTTCTATAGTCTCATGTTCTCAGTGATAACGGTTGTGCAGAACATTGTAAACAGTTGTTTCAGTTTTCAATTGACCACACTTATTAAATATGTGAACCTTAGATTGCAGTTATAGTTTTAACAATTAATTATCCGAAGAAGCCAGAATGATAAATTATTATTTGACAATGTGTAGTTAACATTAATTCACTTTTCCTGGTTCAGACATAACATGTTTAGTTTAAAGGAATAAGCTAATGCTTCCTATCTCTGTTCAGCCACGCCAGTGAAATAGACAATGCAATAGAACCCAGGAAAAGGATGTTGGTTTTCAAAATACTAAGGTTTGGAGCATCTACATACTCTTCTTTATCAGGAAAATGGTAGCCAAATCCCTACTGCATCAACAGGCAGTTAGCAAGAAGACCAAATAACTTCTTTCCTAATAAGCTTAGAGATAAATGGGGTACTAAAGTAAATGTATCTAGTTGCCAAGATTTCTGTCACCCAGCCCCCCCTTTCACCTCCCCCCCCAACCTTTCCCTTTCAATAATCCCAGTTAATAAGACTGTGAGAATCTAACTTTCTTGGTTGTGAGCAATTGCTATGGACTTGACACCAGAGGAGGAAAGGGAACATGCAGACCACATCTCAGTAATGTTTAATGTAATGTGGTTTAGCACAGGGGTAGACAACCTTTTTAAGCTGGGTACTTATTTGGAATTTCGCAAGCTTGTGTTGGATGCACTCATGAAATTGCTTTCTATTCACAAAGTGGCTTCCACAGTAGACAGAGCAGTCACAATGTTTTCAATTTACCTAAAAGCAAAGTAGTCCATTCCATTGGGATCTTTGTAGACCCAAAAGCATTGTTTTTTCTAGGTATATGGATACTAGAAGGGGTGTTTTGCTTCCTTTTTAGTTCTTTTTAAAAATGTCTTTTTAAGTAGATGGACTAGAGAATCTGCATCAATGGAGGTACCTAGGGACACTTTGTTGCTTCTCCCTGGCTTAGCAGGGATCAATTAGATGTGGTACATATGCATATTATCCATGTATTTCCCGGAATAAACATTGAGATTGCAAGTTTTATTGAGATCCTAGCAATGGGTCCAAGTAAATATTTCAGAAGCCGGTAATTTTATAATGCAGGGTATTTCATTAGAAATTAGAAATTTAAGAGCTGAATCTCATTTTAAGAATTATTTCTCTGGCAGGTTAAGTACAATTGCCTGTCTCCTGAAATTACACCATTAACTCTGTCTTGGTATCCTCTGCAATTATGAATGTTATAGATTTAGATCTAGAAATAACGATTCCTCTTTAGGGGAAGACTACACAAGCAGAAAACTTCTGCATTAACAGATGGTTCATTTTATAGAAAACCCTGCAACTAAGACCCTGATTTGCTGTTTGATTTTCTGTTTATTTGCTGAAGTTCATTCAAATAGCTGATAAGAAGCTATAACACAGTTACAGAGAAATGTACATGTGGGGCATCCCGTACTTTAAAAAAGAATCCCCAACATGTATTAGAACATTTCAAAAGATCATTTTCCTAGGCATTTCGAAATCTGTAGCCACACCAGATCTTAACTTTCTCAGGGATATGCCTCAGCTGAAGAAGCCTAATACTTATAAAATATATTTATTTGGAATTAAAAAAAAAAAAAGTTATATAGCCACCTATATTATATAAACCAAGCCCAGGTGGCTAACAAATACACAAATAATAAAAGCACAAGGTGAAAACTCTAACACACCATCGCTATATACCAATAGTGAAATTTATCTAAATCTATTAGGTAGAAAATCCCATTCATTTCAATGGGACTCCCAGATAATTGGGAATTGTTTGAGGGAGATTGGAGCTTTTGATTATACATACCTATCTACCTTCCTTTTTTTTTTTTCCTTACAGTATGGCAATACCTGTTAGAAATGGCTTAAGACAATATGAATTGGGGCAGGTCCGTGACTTCACAGAACATTTCAGACTTCCAGCCCAATCCTGTTTTGACCAATCATGCTATATGTGTTTCTCAGAATATGGTTACTTTGACATTACAGTAGTTATTACAGTTAGACTATTTTGCTAAGAAGGTCTATTATGCGATAAAACAAAAAATACAAATGCATTGTATTTAGGCAATTTAGGAAAGAAGGTAAGATAAACAGTGCTTCTAATTTATTTACTGTAGTTCTATATAATAGGAAGCTACACAATCAGTGACCTAAAGACCAGCCCGTTGTCATATCAGGCCAAGCGGAACAGTATCTTCCTTATTGTTATTCCTCTTTTTTGCAAAAAATATTTTGAGAAGTCATATTTGACTTTTGCATTGAAACTGCAAGTCTAATGGTTTAAAGGATTTTAAGTAGACCTTAGTGTGAAATAATACTTTGTTGTTAAGGTGCCACAATATTCTATTGTCTTACACCATTTTTTCCCCTAAAATGATACTTTCAAGGGCAGAATTTTCCTTTGGCAGTCAGATTTTTTGAGGTGTCTTGAGCTTCATGCAATTTACAGATTTAGGAGCAGTTAGAAGGAAGTTATACTGATTCATTCGCTACTGAAGCCAATGGGACAGGATATAGCTATCCAGCAAAACAAAACAAAATTGTTCTCTAACAATTGCTACTTTGGAGAATGCACTGGCTCTATATCCTGTATTTAAAAAGAATAAGCAACAAGGGAGCTTCTTGGGTACAGTGTAAGTAGAGAAGCCTATTTTATAATCTAGGTGCTGCAGAGCTAATGCTAGTGTTCTGGTAAGCAAACTCATAATTCTTAACTTATTAAAATTCATGTTTATTGCTGACTTCAGTATATGGAGTTTGCTTGTTTTTTTAAGGCTGTTATTAATTTTCAACTGTGTTTCTTATCATGACTTATATCACTACATAATGACCTTCATAATTATGGCTCCTTTGTTCATACTCCTATTCTGTTGTTTTTCCAAGGAAAAGATGATGCTGAGCCAAAGAATCCAGAAAACAGTACCTTACATACATCGTAAGTCAACCTAATATTTGTGGTTTGTTGAAAGGGTAGTAATTTTCCTTGAGATCTGGGACATCCCTGATGGTGTGTCTGTCAAAAAAGTCAAGATGGGGGCTGCAACTGCGTAATTAAAGTCCTGCTTCTTATTTACATGCAATGCTGCCATCCAGACTTTTTGGCCATCTAGTCTTCCTCCATAGACACCTCTGTTTAACATACACATCTCTTTTGGATTTAAAGTGTTACCTTTAATACTTTTGAATACTATTTCAGTGATAGTATAGCAATTGGCTAGTATAGCAAAATTCCTTGATTTCTAAAGAGGCCATGTAGCCAGCATATACTTTTTTGAGTCAGCACTTCATAAAAAATTTAAAGATTCTTTATATGAAAACAGGAGCTTTTCTCTCTGGCTAAAACATATGTCATATGTTGCTTATGATTTACTGTTGTAATTTTAAATGACTGACGACTACAGCAGCACATTCCAGTTGCTGAAATGCAACTGAAAGAGTTAATATGATTTCCCACAATTTGTTGATGATTCTGAATTAATAAAATCAATAACACGATAGATCACAGAATGTGATTTATTCTAATGAAATAATGGGAGGTTTTATCCGTTTTGTTTCAGTATACAAAATACTACACTGCTTTTACAGCTATGAAAACATTGGGCTCTAAAACATATTCCTTTCTCAAAGGGAAGAAAACCTGATTACACAAGTAAACTCAGTTTAATCTACAACAGTGTTTCTCAACCGTGGGAACTTTAAGAGGTATGGACTTCAACTCCCAGAATTCCCTAGCCAGCATGCTGGCTGGGGAATTC